AAGAGAAGAGAAGAGAAGAGAAGAGAAGAGAAGAGAAGAGAAGAGAATTCTTTATTGGCCAAGTGTGATTGGACACACAGGGAATTTGTCTTGGTGCAAATGCTCTCAATGTACATAAAAGAAAAGATACATTCATCAAGAATCATAAGGTACAACACTTAATAATAGTCATAGGGTACAATAAGCATCTAACACAATGTGCCTTTAGTAATTTGGGAATTGCCCAAACACTGTCTCTAACAGGCCCGTCAAACTGGCGGCTTGTGGGCTGGATACGTGCAGGCCACGCCCACCCCAGCTCTGCAAAGGCAAAAACCATCACAATATGTCACAATCTGGCCTGATTGAGTTTGACACCTGTGGTCTATAAGCTCCTGCATTTATCAGATGTCAGAGGTAGACCATCTTAAATGTCCCTCCAAATTTGTAAGGTTGGCATCCCAGGTTGTCTCTTTGCTTAGCATCATGTGTGCAGGCCTCATGTTTGGCTAACAAATGACCAGCAGTTCTTACAATAGCTAGGGCTGCTGAGCACATAATTGTTACATCACTTCCTTGTTCTGGGTTGTGACTAATGCAAAAGATGAAATCTGATTGGACAGATCTAAATATAACTGACATGACCACTAACTTCATTCAGGCAAATCTTGGTTAGATATCTCAGGTCTGTCTCTGCATCCATGATTAAATTGTAAATGAGGTCGGTTTTATTACAGACTTGGTATTTAAAAAACAACAATCTAAGCCCAGTGTGTCAAGTAGTTCAGTTGCTTGGTTCTTAAAATGAGACCGAGGAATTGGAAATAGTTTCCGATCTCTCTTCCCCTGGAACCATACAGTAATTAAATAGCTAGCTAAATAAATGGGAGACAGAGTAACTTTTCTGTTTAGTAAAATGGAAGAGCTCCACTATTAGGTTTGTGTTCACTTATGAAAAGTCTTTATGGCCTTTGTTGCTCTGCCAAATTCTCTAAGCTCTGGATAGCCCTTGGATGGGTCCCTGTCAATCAAGATACTAAAAAATCTTTCATGCACATAGCTTACTTGTTAATGAGCAGAATGTTTCAATAAGAAAAGTTGACTGTCTAGAAGTCATTAGTCGTTTCACATTAACTTATGCTGGCGGAAAAATCACAAATTCTATCTGTAACTCTACATAACATAGGATACAGAAGCTAAGAAATTTCAAGAAAATGATTGCAGAGACAAAGACTTATGAATGCAGAAGAAATATGTTTGTTGTGCAGATTTATTTACATACTTAAACATGAAAAAGCTTATTTAGGCCACAATTCATATTAAAAAATTGGGAGTGGAAGTACTAATGCTCTGCAATTGAGATTGTGCATACTCTGCAGCCACATTATAATACACCCTCCTATATAATTTAAGATTAGACAATATGGAGACTGCATGCATCACTGTTGTGCAAACTACTCTCTACCATACCTGCAATGTGTGTTCTGCTGATACTCATGATTAAATAAATATGTACTTGCATATCTATTTATTTGAAATGTTAAATAATGGAAATGTTTTAAAATGAAGTGCTGTTCCTAGCTACCTGCCATCCTTATTCTCTAGGACTCATCAGGGTTAGAGACATTCAAGAAAATGAAGAGAAAATGGGCTAATGTTGTGGATGGATTAAAACACTATCTAAAATCACTCCCAGTCACATGAAGAACTTCAACTGCAATGGAAAGGGTGTTGGTACTTACCTGATATGCCCGTTCTCTGTGAGCTGTGAAGAGCATCCAGAAGTGGGGGGTGCTTCAGTCTCTTCTGGAAAGGCTGGGCTTAAAACTCCGGGATGCTCCTCCTCCTCCACGGGACACCTCCCCAGTGTCCCCCAGTTTTGCGAAGACTGAGCGCCAAAGTCCAGAACTCATCACCTAATTTAGATCCCTGACCGGAACGGAACCCCACCAGACAGAAAGAAATGGGTGGGGCTGGATGCTCTTCACAGCTCACAGAGAACGGGCATATTAGGTAAGTACCAACGCCCTTTCTCCCATGAGCTGTTCAGAGCATCCAGAAGTGGGACATACCAAAGCTTGGCCTGTCCTTAGGGAGGGACTCCGTCTGGATCGAAATCCACTCCTAAACTCTGTGGACCCTCTGCAGGACTCTTCTGCCAAATGAAGTGTCCTCTGAGGCTTACACATCAATTTTATAATTTCTGACAAAGGGCGATGGTGAAGCCCAAGTCACCACTCTGCAAATTTTGTCTATGGAAGCCCGAGTGGCCCATGCTGCTGATGTTGCCGCACTCCTTGTCGAGTGGGCTGTAATGCCCTTAGGAACTGAGATGGACTGGCATTCGTAACTTTTAGCTATGGTGGCTCTCAACCATCTACCAATGGTCGTTGACGACACCTTGTGTCCTAAAGTGGATGGGTTGAAGGATAGGAATAGAGCCTCAGATTTTTGAAATGCCGCCGTGCGGTCTAGATGCTTAATGCCCTTCGAACGTCAAGTCGATGCCATTGATGCTCCAGTCTATGAGATGGTTTCGGACAAAAATTTGGAAGCACCAACTCCTGCGCTCTGTGGAAGGCTGAATTTACTTTAGGGATGAACGATGGATCCAATCTGAGAACCACTCTGTCCGCAAGAAACACGGACAGGTCCTTTCTCATCGACAATGCTGCCAACTCGGAAATCCTCCTTGCTGATGTGATCGCAATTAAGAAGACCACCTTATATGTCAGGAATTTGAGACTAGCGGTTCTTAAAGGCTCAAACGGGCCAGTTGTAAGTGCAGTTAACACCTTGTTGAGCTCCCAAGTGGGATAGCGGTGAATTACAGGAGGTCGTAAGTTAGCAGCACCTTTACGAAAGCTGCGGACATGTGGATGGTGCGCTATGGAATGAAGGTCACCCCAGGATATCACCAAGGCTAAGGCCGCCACCTGTCTGCGTAAAGTATTTGGAGATAGGCCCTTGGTCAACCCCTCCTGTAAAAAGTCCAATAATTGTCCTATTGATGGGGCAGTTGGGTCGATCTTAGGCCCCTGGCACCAGCAACAGAAAGTGGACCACGTGGCCTCGTATATACGATTTGTAGGGGACCGTCTGGATGCTTGTATGGTGGCAATGGCATCCTCTGAAATCTGTTGGGTCCTTAAACGGTTCCGCTCAACCTCCATACGGCTAGGCTGAGCCATTGTGGGTCCAGGTGAAGTACCGGCCCTTGAGAGAGGGAAACCCTCGACGGTGGAATTTTTCAAGGTTGTTCTCTCGACAGGTCCTGTAAGTCTGCGAACCACATTCGCCTGGGCCAGTAAGGGGTGACCAATATCAATTCCGTTCGTTTCTCCAATAACTTCTGGATCAACCTGGGTATTACAGGGAGTGGAAAAAATACATATAGAAGTCCGGGAGGCCACTAACATCGCAGAGCGTTGACAGCCTCCACCCCCTGAGTCGGGTACCTTGAAATATACTGGGGCAATTGGGCGTTGAGGGGAGAGGCAAATAGATCGATCACCGGTTGCCCAAACCTCCACAGTGCTTCCTGGAAGAGAGACGGGTGTAAGTGCCACTCTGCCTGATCTATCGTGGCTCTGCTGAGGCAGTCTGCTTGTGTGTTTAAGGCCCCTGCTATGTGCTCTGCCTTGAGCAACAACAGATTGGCCTCGGCCCACTTGAACAACCTGGCTGTCTCCAGCATCATAAGTTTGGAATGGGTACCCCCCTGTCTGTTTACGTGGGCCTTGGTTGTGATATTGTCTGTCAAGACCAGAACATGGCGTGACTGGAAGAGGGGTAGAAAACTGCGTAACACCAGATGAACTGCTCGCAGCTCCAACAGGTTGATGTTTTGTGATTGTTCGTAAATAGTCCAAATTCCCTGAGCAGTGTGGGATTGGAAGTGAGCTCCCCATCCCATTAGGCTGGCATCGGTCGTGATCGTTGCCCTGCACGGTTCCTTGAATTGACACCCCTTGTTTATCGTGTTTTCCGACCACCAGCAGAGTGATCAAAGAACATTGTGCGGTACCTTTATCCGGACATTGGAAGTGGCTCTTCCGGATCGCTGGAAAGGTAGCAGGAACCATTGTAGATCTCTAGAATGGAATTGAGCTCAAGGCACAATGGAAATACAAGAAATCAGTTTCCCTAACTGTTGAGACAGAACTCCCAGGTAAACCCTCTTTAAGGCTCTGATCTCACTGGCCAAGGACTGGATACTATTCAACCTGTCCTGAGAGAGAAAAACCTTGCCCTCCACGGTATCTATCACTGCCCCTAAATGAACTAACCTAGTTGAGGGGATCAAATGGCTTTTATCCCAATTTATGGAAAAACCATGACCTTGAAGGGTCTCCAGGGTAATCTTGGTATCCAAATTTGATTGATGTCTGGAAGATGACAAAATTAAAATATCATCCAGATAGCATTGTAAACAAATAGATTTGATCCTCAGGGAGGCAGACAAAGCCGCTAGGACCATGGTAAAAGTCCTAGGGGCCGAAGCCAGACCGAATGGTAGGGCGATATATTCGTAGTGCCGATCACAATAGCAAAATCTAAGATATTTGTAGTGAGCAGGTCTAATTGGTACATGTAGATAAGCCTCTGTGAGATCTATAGAGGTCAGGACATCGTTCTCTCTGATGCTGAGCAGAATGGATTGGAGAGTAGTCATCTTGAATTTTCGATAAACCAATGATCTGTTCAGACTTTTGAGGTCCAGAATTGCCCTCCAGCCCCCCGAACTCTTTGGGACCACAAACAATATAGAATAACAGCCTTGACCCCGTTGTTCAGATGGGACCTCCCTAATGGCCCGAATATGTAGAAGATGATTGATAGCCTCCTGCATCAACGCTCTCTTAATGGGGTCCGTGGACCTAGGACTCCTAATGAAAAAGTTCGGGGGGGGAGGATTGAAACTCTAGCACCAAACCAAACCTAACAGTGTCCCTGACCCACGCATCAGAGGTGGAGCTGTCCCATTGATCAGCAAACAATTTTAGTCGCCCTCCAATGGGAGCTGCTGTCAAGGACTCACTTGGGGCGACGAAAAAATCGGCCTCCGGTACCTCTGGGGTTTCTTCTGTTTTGGCCTCCCTGCTGACTTCTATCGGAAGATTCAGACCTATCCTGTCTAAAACTGGGCCTGTAGCCTGATGTTCTCTGCGATCTGGGAACGTATGGACCTTGATAGTAGGGCCAAAAGGGACCCCTTCGAAACGATGGGGGCGTTCTGTTTTCAGACCTCCGAAAAAGAGGGGGAAGCACTTTTTTCTTGTTTCTATTCTCAATAAGCAGAGGCTCCAAGACACTGCCAAATAATTTATCCCCCGATATTGGGGCTGATGCCAGCTTGCATTTATGCTTGGTATCTGCCTGCCAATGTCTGAGCCATAGCAATCTCCGTGCTGACATGTGAGATGCTATGGCTCTAGACGAGAATTTGACTGCATTAAATGTGGTGTCGGTGGAGAATTCTGCCACTGCAATAACCTTAGCAATGTCCTGGTGGGCTCTGACATTTGACACCGGCAATATATTCCTCAAGTGGAAGAGCCATCGTAGGGAGGACCGTGTAAAAAAGGACGCAGCTGTAGCTGCCCTAATGGCCCAGGCGTCAGAAACGTGCGCCCTACGGAGTGCCAACTCTGCTCTCTTTTCCTCCGGTCTCAGGGCTTCCTTGGCTTCGTTGGGAAAGGTTGAAGAAGAGGCCAGTGCCACAATGGGCTCATCCACCTCTGGTGTTTTCAGAAAATTTGAAAACTCTGGTGCCAAATTATAATATCGTTTATCGTACCCTGTTGGGGCTGGGTAGGATGCTGCTGATGCCCATTGATTTTGTACTAATTCAGCAAACATATGAGGGACAGGAATAGTTTCTGCCTCATTAGCCGGTTATGAGAATATTAGGTCCTCGGATTCGTCCTGAGACCCTGCTGACAATGGATGAGGACTTGATGTGCCTAGTTTAGCGGTGTTCTTTGCTTTGAACAGTAAAGATTTAAAGAGGTGCGGACGAAAAAGACCAGAAAAGGTAGGTTGGTCCGGAATGAGGCCTTTGTCATCCGACATTCCTCGTTCTAGTGGGTCAGCCTCTGACAACCCCAAGTCCATCTGATGGATCGACCCCACCTCCATGGGAACATCCTGGTCATCTAATTCCACCTCCTCCTGAAGACCCTGGACTGGTATGTCAGGAATATTGGGGAATACCTGAGTTTGATGTTGTCCCATATGCACAAAGGATTGAGCAGACAGGGATCCCGTTTCCGAAGTAGCCGAAAAGTGTCTGGTCCGGATGGATTGCTGAATTCCAACCGCAATGCCCTTTTGAATTGCCATCTCCATCCATTGCCTCATTTCGATGGGAATAGTCTCAGGTAATCCCTCCTCCTGTCTTAAACCGGTGGCCATAGGGGTGAAGGTTGCCTCTGGGCTTCGCCGGGCAGTGCTCATTGGAGGAGATATGGCTATGGGAGGCTGTCCAGAAATAGCTGTCTGGGCTGGGTAGATAAGTCCAAGGGCCCCAGCAATGGACTTGGGCCCTGATCCGATTGTTGTGTCATAGCCATCTTGTCCGCCTCCCTGGCCCGTTTCTGCAACTAACTTTCCAAGGCTTGGTGCCGTCTACGGGCATCCTTATCCGCTGCCTTAGAGGCCTTTTTGGGGCCCACTGACTTATCTTGGGACTTATTTGTCTTGGAGCGGAAGACGTTGTCACCTTCCATTGTGGAGGACTGAATCTCGTGTCTCTAACTTTAATTTTTTTAAAAATTATTATTATTATTATTATTATTATTATTATTATTATTATTATTAT